CGCGCCAGTCAGTTCTTGTTTTGATTAGTTACAGCCTTATAGAATCATTCCCTTTATTTTATTAATTATTCCCTCAACCCCTTCCAGTTCGCTTACAGAGCTAAATGATCCACAGAGGATGCAATCTGCTCTGTCCTCCTCCCAGCTCTCACTCACCTGGACAGAAAAGACTCATATGTGAGAATGCTGTTCTTAGATTTCAGTTCAGCATTCAACACCATAATACCACAACAACACATCTGCAAACTTGACAAACTGGGCCTCAGCACCTCCCTCTGCAACTGGCTGCTAGACTTTCTCAGCCAAAGGTCACAAGCAGTACGTGTCGGCAACAACACCTCGAGCAGCATCACTCTGAGCACAGGGGTCCCACAAGGCTGTGTGCTCAGTCCTTTGCTCTTCACCCTGCTGACACACAACTGCACACCAACCTACAGCTCCAATCACCTTGTGAAGTTTGCGGACGACACAACTCTGGTGGGGCTCATCACCAAGGGCGATGAGACTCACTACAGGAAAGAGGTTGACCTTCTGACCATGTGGTGCAAGAACAACAACCTCCTGCTGAATGTCAGCAACACTAAGGAGATAGTTGTCAACTTCCAGAGAAATCACACCCAACATCTGCCACTTACCATCGATGGTGCTGCTGTGGAGAGAGTGAGGAGCACCAAATTCCTGGGGGTGTACATCAGTGAAGACCTCTCCTGGACCACCAACACTGCAACACTGGCAAAGAAAGCCCAGCAGCGCCTCTACTTCCTGTGCAAACTCAAGCAGGCAAGAGCTCCACCACCCATCATGACCATCTTTTACAGAGGAACCATTGAAAGCATCCTTTCCAGCTGCATCACTGAGTGGGGTGGGAGCTGCACTGAATACAGCAGGAAAGCCCTACAGCGCATTGTGAGCACAGCTGAGAGGATCATTGGTGCACAACTTCTCTCCCTTAAAGATATATACACCACCCACAAAGCCATCACAATTGTGAGCGATGCAAGCCACCCCGCACACAATCTGTTCAGCCTCCTGCCCTCTGGAAGGAGGTATAGGAGCCTCCGCTCCTGCACTACCAGACTCAGCAACAGCGTCATCCACCAGGCTGTGAGACTACTAAACTTTCTCCCCCCCCCACACACTCAGCACCAGTCAACAGAGCCACCAGACTGGCAAGTGCCCAGGAATCTGCCCCCCCCCCTCCCAAAAGAAAACACTCTGGACTCTGACCCACAGGAACAACTACCTCTGCACTATGCAAATTGCACACATCTGTTACCATTATTATTATTATCTGCTGGCAGAGCTGCCATCTGCTGATGTCCCATTTTTCCTGTCAGTCTTCTGCAAATGACGCATCTGTGAAGCAAAATGCTGATGCAGCGTTTAGCTCCAACCAACCAGAAACCTGCCGTTCGAATTGCACCTTCAGTAAGATGTCTTCCTTGGTGTTTCACTGATTCGTGATAGTGAGACACAAGCAGGGTAGCTAGATGATGGTGGCCAGGGATGATGATGGGATGAACCTCATTCATACTCAGGTCCGACCACTCAATTCGACCTCCTACTCTAAGGAGCTGATTTCGATCAAAGAAAGGGTGTAGTTTCCAAAGGCTGCTGTTTGGTGGAATATTGGATCCTGAGTTGATACACTTAAGGTCCTCTGAATAGCACTCATTCTGGACACTCTTCACGATACATATTTTGGCTTTCGACAGCTCTTCCTCTGTAGGTCGACAGACATGCCACCCTTGACATTCATCCCTGGTAGAGCGGGCAAAGGAACAACCCACATGGATGAGGTGAGCTACAGCTGTGAGGAGAGTGCTGAACTTGGAGAAGCATTCAAATCGTTGTAGATGTATAACGGCTTACGTGAGTGAAACTCGCTACCACCTGAGGGCGCAATTCAGGGTCTGCGTCAGGGTCAAAAAGGTCATAAGCTTCTTGAAGCTCAGGCAAATGCAAAGACACATCATGAATAAAGGCTGGATCTTTGAGCCAAGTTGTGCTGCTAAGCAAGTCTGAGGTCACAGATCTTGATCCGATGTCCGTTCGATTGAGGTGTGTTGGGACATACTTCCACAGGCCAGAACAAGGTGATTGACAAATTCTTTGAATCCTGTTGTGTACGAAGACGTAGAATCTCCTTGACTGGTTCTGGATGTAACCCAGTACGACCTTGCTATCTGTGTAGTAAGTAATGCTATTGAGCGTTGTATCCATCTCTGCAACTACCATCTCAGCAATCTTGATGGCAAGTACAGCCACACAGAGCTCTAGTCATGGGATAGTTAAGTCAGACCGAGGTGCCAATTTCGCCTTCCCGAAGACGAAGCCGGTCTCAGTCTGATGTTGGTGGCTTGTCACTTTTATGTAAGCTATAGCTGCTATAGCCTTGATTGACGCATCTGCGAAGACATAGAGCTCTCTTCTTAGAGCACCTGCTGTGGAGAATGATGTGTAAGGGCGTGGTATCTGGAATCCCTCCAAGTCTCGGAGCGACCATTTCCACCTTGTCCATTCAGTCTCCATGTCTTTGAGGAGAGGTGTGTCCCAATCCGCTGCTTGCTTAGTTAATTCTCTGAGTATCAGCCTTCCATGAACCGTAATAGGTGCGAGGAATCCCAAAGGATCGTAGAGGCTGTTCACAATCGAAAGTACTCCTCTGCGAGTGAATGGCCTCTGGTCGTCTTCAATTTGAAACGTGAATGTATCTGTGCACATGTTCCATAACAAACCAAGACTACATTGTATTGGCAAATCGTCAACGAAGAGATCCATGCTGCTGACGTCCTTGGCTCGATCTTCAAATGGAAATGCTTTGGCATGCAAGCATTTTCTGCGCTCGACCTAAGATGCTGATGGCCTCTTCCTGCGTGCTGAAGGATTTCAGAGCGTCATCAATGTAAAACTCGCGATCGATGAATCTTCTTGCATCACTACCACAATCAGCTTCTGCTTCCTTAGCTGCCCGTCGCAGACCATACACTGCAACAGCAGGCAAGGGACTATTTCCAAAAAGGTGAACCCGCATTCTGTAGTCGACAATGTCAGAGGTAGGGTCTTTGTTCCTGTACCACAGGAAATGGAGAAAATCACGGTTGTCTTTTTTGACGAGGAAGTAGTGGAACATGTGCTCAATGTCGCCGGTGATCGCAACCTGTTCCTTCCTAAACCTCATAAGGACGCCAAGCAGGCTGTTGTTAAGGTCGGGACCAGTGAGCAAGATATCATTTAACGACACTCCTTCAAATGATGCACTGCTGTCAAACACTACACGAATTCTATCTGGTTTTCTTGGATGATAGACATAGAAGAGTGGTAGGTACCAACACTCTTGCCCAGGTTGTAGTGGCGGTGCGACTTCGGCATGTGCCTTCTTGAACATCTCAATAAAGTCTAGGAAATCGACTTTCATCTTTGGTCGTTTTTCTAATGTGCGCTGGAGCGAAACGAGGTGGTCAAAAACCTGTTTCCTGTTGTTGGGCAGCCGCCGTCTCGACGATCGAAAGGGTAGAGGTGCAACCCAACTTTTGGAACCATCCTGATAGCACTCAGCTTCCATTATCTTCAGAAACTCTAGATCCTCCATGGATGGGGCAAGTCTGTGGTCGTCGGGAGAACAAGCGAAAATGGTCTGCCCTAAACAGTCTCCGCTGAGCATCGTGGAAGGACAGATGGAGGTCGGCGCTGTATGATGCCAAGGTCTAGCTGCTCGACCAAAAACTTCTTTCACTCTAATCTGATTGTTGCATGGTTGAAAATGACTTGTACTAAGGTGGAATCTTGTCAGCGATACTCTTTAGGTGGACGTGATGGAAGGCTGCTTCAGGCATAGGAATCTCAGTGCGAACATTAGGGATTTGGTTGCACTCCAGGAGTGTAAGCAGATGAATGCTTATTTTGTTGTCCACCGACTCTACAGTGTAACCGCTAGCTCTCCTCCCCACTGTCTCTGTATGCCCTGCACAGGTCTTAAGCGTATATGAGTACGAATTTCCTGAGATCTTAAAAATTTCAAAGAACTCTGACCGTGCCAAGGAGCGATTGCTCTGTTCGTCTAGTATGGCGTACATTCTTTTAGACTCCTTCTTGCAGCCGTTGGGGAACACACTGACGAGGCAAATCTTAGCACATGTTCTAGCGCTCAATCCTTCACCACATACCTGAGTGCATGACGACTTAACTTCCTGGATGTTTACCTTGGCTTCTTCTCCACCTTCTTCTGAAGTGGAAGGGAACGACTTAGATGTCCAAGTAGGTGGGTAAGGGTGAAGTGCTGTCACGTGGGTGGTGCTCCCACACTCTGAACATTTTATCTCAGCTGCGCAAATCTTCGCGAGATGGTCGGTGGAGGAACAACAACGAAAGCAGATGTAATGCTCTTTCAAGAGCTGCACTGTAAAAAGAATACTGTAAAATCTACAGTAACTGGCTGGCAGCAATTAGCTAATAAGTTGCTGTAATACATTTCACAGTATTGTTACTGCAAATTTAATCACAGCACCTGGAAAATACCATAAAAAATACCATAAATTCCATAAATACAGCATTAATTGTATTACTGTAAACTGATAACCAAACTACATAATTTAAAATAAAGACACTGTTTCTATCAGAAAAAGAGTTTATTAAATAAAGTCATCAATATGTCAATGTATTAGATACAAAGCGTTCTGCAAACATTTCAACAGCTATTAATAAACAGTATTTAACAGTATGTAAATTGCTTGGCCACTTCCTGGGCTGGAGTCTTCTTTGCTGAAGAGGAAGGATAAAAAGGAATTGTTTCCTGATGTAGACAAATATAGGCAAGACTGATGACAACTTTTGCTGGCTCCTTACTTCCAACCAGAAATCCATTTATATGATTCTACTATTGATAAACTCACCTGGCATCAATTGTTCTGCCAGTCATACTGAATGAAGTCCCTGATAAATGATGCCACATGTGGATTCAAGAACTCATTCTTCCGCTGGACCATCTTGCCAGTCCTTCTGCTCACCAGGACCTTGGAAGCACACTTACTCTGCTCTGGATTTATCCTGACAAAAAAATCTGTAAATAAAAGACATAATTACTTTTCATTAAGCTAAGGTGAAACCATTGTTTTGCGTGATAGTTTTCTAATACATATAATGGTGTCTATATACTTTGTACAAAATTAAGAGACCATTGCAAAATTATCAGTTTCTCTGATTTTACTATACATCCCATGCTAGTAGTGCATTTAACCAATATACATTGGCAGTGCTAATGCAGATACTTAATACATTTAATCATCAGCCCCCAAAAACAAAAATATCAATGCTGTGCAATGATATTGCATCCCAGCGACAAGAAATAGTAATTTTGAGTAGTATTTAACTAGTTGAGTACATGGTTACATGAGCACCCTAGTAAACAGTACAAAAAATAAGTGCTTACCTCTGGATAAATTCCAAAGTTGTGGCTGCCTGTTCTGGATATTTAATGTTGAAAACAGAATGACCCAAACAGGACAGCCAGGGCAGAAGTGAAATCTGAATGGTCACTCATTCGGAGAACAACTCTGCCCTCAATGGAAAGTGTTGGGTTGAGATTGTTTTATATTATCACTCGTGTATTCTTATGAATGTAT